ACGGGTACAATTATTCCATTCCTAGTTATGCTGTGAGTACACAAAGTAATCACTTATAAAAAAATGCTGTCAATGACAAAGTAACCATCCTCCCTTCAAGGAAGCTGCTTAAATTGTGCCTAGGAATATACTGAACCAACAGAAAACCACACGTTTTTTAATGCATATGATACCTTGGTGTTTTAAAAGCATACTGGACATACCAAAAGATTATGGTATTTAAGTACATTTGATTTAGAGACAGTAGTGCATAACTTTGTTTCAACAAGCATGAAAAAAGGTCTGCATGATACTACTTCTAATAAGTTTCTGTTATTGGTAACATCATTGCTTAGGCAAATAACTATCCGTGGATACAGAAATTACGTAAAACCAGGCAGAACCCAGGAGAGGTACAGAGGTGCTTTCTATGGTAGCAAATAATTATATAATTTATGCAATTAATCATCAATTTAAAGCCAGGGTAAAACTTATTTTCTCTCTTTGTAATTTTTACCCTGTTGACATTTGTGCACCCTGAGTGGGATAACTGAAGTGTGCCAGTCTGCACAAAAATAAACTGTTTTCTAAATACTGCCTGAAAAGTGTGGAATTCTTCCCATTTGGCATAACAGACACCATTTCCCCCAGAAATGTGTGTGCAGTAAAACTAGCACAGAAACCACTTACATGTCTAAAATTTACTTTCAGCAAATATAACACTTCATGTCAGGTTTCTCATAAACTAGATCAGCCTTCCTCACAGGTGACCACATCTGCAGCTCAGTTAGATGATTTCGCAAAATTAAAGAGGAAACAAGAAAGGAGGAAATAGGAAGAAACCTCTTTGCAATAAATTATCTTCAATCTTCAGGCAACTGCACACTAAACACATGCCTCAAACTATATGAGGTACAAAATGTTGGTTTAGATTTCACTATTTATTTTTAGCATTGAAGTTCTTCAGTCAAATTTGTTGTGTATGGCAGAGAGGAAATAAAGAAACCCTCATAATGGTTCAGATGTTTGCTTAAAGCATGCAGGAAATGATGTTCTCTCAGTGGAACAGTGGAGAGGCATATCAGAGACAAGTGCAGACAAAACCAGCACCCTCTTCAGTTCTGCCTACAGCCCAATATTCTTCACTAATCAGGTAACTGCTTTCCTTTTAATTGACTGGCAGTTTCTTCATAGTCACCTCAAATGTCATCATAGCAACACTGTACCACTATTTCTCTAAATGTACCATTTTTTTATTTTTTTTTTAACAATGATTTCAAGACATCCATTTGCATATCTAAGTCTAGAAGTTTATCCTGCTGGCATAAACAAGGTGGGTGCTTTTAAGGGAACAGGAAAGGAGACAGATAAAGTAGCTGAAATCTCAAACTCTCAAGAGACATTTCTTATTCTTGAATTCAGAACTTCCTTATTTATAAAACTGACTGCTCTCAGTGTGGTAAAAAATATCATACAAACATATAACTCAAGACTGTATCACAACTACCAAAAAGCCACAGAAGCTTTAATCCTCACATGTTCTAATTGTGTGTGGGTGACTGTACAAATGTAATCCTCATTTGATGGAACGCTTTGTGAAATGAAGCTGTTTCCCACTCTACACAGCAACATAACACACTATTTCCACAGACACTCAGAGCAACATATTGACTTGCTCTCTGTTACTTATAAGCAAGCACCAAACAGTGATGCAGAGGAAAGCCACTTACCTGCATCAAGGTTTTTAGGGAAGGGTGGCACAGAGATGAGAAGAACACTGAGAGTCAATGGTAATCAGAAGATAAAGCAAAAATAGAATTAATACTATTTTCTGTGTCAAGATATGTGCTGGTGTTTTATTTATATTCATTACTGACCTGCCTCATCCCTTCAGATATTTGTGCTTCTTCTCCTTACCAAGTGCCAGCCACAATTTGCTCCCCACCCACATCATCTTATCATTTCAGGGTCAGCACCTTCAAAGGCTGAACTGAGAACCCTGCAGTGCTCTATAGATTTCTGCCTCCACTTTGTACTTCCATCTCTCTGCTTTTATACTCACTAGCTTTCCTCTATTTCTATATTTTATCCATTTCCACTCACTCTCCCAGTTCTTTCACAGCTCTTTGCTTTCTCCGCTCTGACTATCCCTCTTTCCAAGTTGCAGATTCCTCCTCTTTCCTTCACCAATCCTACACCCAGGATAGGATTTTGCTTTTATTCCTTTTCTATATTCTATATTTTATATTCCTTTGCTTCATTCTTTTTCTATTTGAAGTACCACATCTTAATCTCCTGTGTTCTGGTCTTTCCTCCAGTGTGGGATATTCTTATCTCCACAGGTTCAGTGTTTCTTCCTCTGGAATGACAGTAGTCACTATCAATTCTTTGCCTTTATAATAGTCTATTTGCTGGACACCTGACTATAAAAACCTCTCCAAACCCCAAATTACCCTGATGCTTTCTGTGTATGCAGGGGGAATGTATAGCAAAAATATTTCACTGCTCAGTAACTTTAAGTCTAAATTTTATCACAACCAGGTTTGATTTATTCAGTTGAAAAAAAAAACTTGATAAGCTCCTTTCTCCCCACTGATATCTAAACACTGCCCAAAATTCTGGAAGTCACTACTACCGCTATCTAAAAACAACAGAAACATGATATCATTCTAACATGAAAATCCCCATTGAGAGAGTTAAACATATTCTCTAACCATGAAGTTCAAAAGAGCTGCTCAAGATGGAAATCAGCTGCCTCTGATTAAGTAAGGAAAAGAGGAGTGCAGAGGAGTTTCTTTGGTAAAAGTGTAGCATCCGGGTCTTCTTTATCTTACTCTGAGGTTCACTTTGCTGTATGTTCCAGGTTTCTATAACATGTCCTTTTATCAGCACGATACAGAGACATTTAAACTGAGTGAACTGACTGCAAAGAGAGGACAGGGAGATGAACAGTGTTGCAATTCTGTGCTAATCACTTTATTCTTTATTATTTTTGGTGACTGTTAAAATGATCCTGTATTACAGTCTGTAATAATAGAAATAGAAATTAAAGAAAACATAGCCATGAGTAAGTCAGCTCCAGAGCTGTGCTATACTCAGCTGTGGCTCTGCTCCACTGTCAACATTAACCTAGTTATTTTAGCCAGTAAGGTTTTAGTCCTGTTGAGAAAAGACATCAAAGCCAACCTATTATCTTTCACCATCTCTATGAAAACCTACGTGACTTCAAGTCTGCTCATTGGGCTTTTCATAACACAATTTTTCCATCTACTGAAATAAAGTTAATGCTCACACAATGCAAATATCAGACACTTAGCTCTCTCTTTTCCATTCCTCAGCTATCTTGGATTCAGCATCCAATCAGATCAAGAGAACAACTCATACAAGTTCTTCCCTTGATGCAGCCATTTTTGTCAAACAATTCACTGCAACTGCCTACCATGCACTATATGAACGATTACAGTGTAAAACTTGACATCTGTGCTACCATCTCATAAGTTTCTTTAAAAATAAGGTGGCAGCCACCTGCCACAGATCTTCATTTCCACACATGAAGGAAGCAGTTGGAAGATCCATTAACTTGTTGCCTGTTTTCTCTAATACTACTATTCCTATCTCCTTTCAGGTTCTTGATTCTAAAGGATTTTACTCCCCAGTTTTCTGTTCTTTGTATACAGCTCACTCCACCTGCACCACACAGGATCACAGACCTCATACTGCCACTGTGAAACCAGCCCTATGTCTTTACTTCAGTGAGCTACTGCTCTGTACTTGGCATCATTGTTTCTCCAGCTACAGCTCATACCTACAATACTCTTCCCACTATTATCATATCCACCTCCTTCCTCAGTTACTTTTCCAGCAGTAAGCTGGAGAGTAGCTTCGAGAGAACTGGGGGAAACACTAGAGTCAATTTTATTTTTAAACTGGCTCTGAAATGTACAATTAATCTACAGCCTAGAGGTTGTTGGTATTCTGCCTACACTCTTGTCCATACAGTTGTAAAGGAACTATTTTCTTGATATTACTGACAACTTCACCCATGGTGTCACACAAAAAATAGCGACAATAAAAAGCTCACAATAACAATAGTGGATGCTCTATTTAAAACACAAAGTTAGAATGCAAAAGTCAGTAAAATATATTTTTTGTTTTGATGAAGTTTACCATATTATGAACAACACAGAACATTAAATGTGTCAATGCCATTGACTCTTTCAGCAAAGCATTTAAGTAATGTCTGTCTGCTTGCAGTAATTTCTCCTGGACTATATCCCAGGCTCCAGCACTTACACACATGGCAAACACACTACTATCACAATAAGTTTCACCAAATGGTATAGAAGGGCTCACAGGCCTCCTGGGGCAGAGAGGGGATAACATGGCTGACTCTCTGAACAAATTAACCCACTAAGAAGCTACCTCTGAAACCTGAAGAGGACAAGAATAAAAGCTCTTAGTACCACCCGCAAATATAAAGATTCTCAGTGTCACTTGCATTGCTTTTTCATGTACCTTTTCAGTTAGTTTCTGTAGAACACACAAGCTTCCATATTTCCTTATTCAGCCAAGCAAATAGAAATAAAACCTCTTCCCCTCTGCCTTGTAAGAGACACACATATTTTTTGTTATGATTTAACTGTACTTCCACAAAGTTCATGTATACAAACTTGCAATAACTTTACAAATATCGATATTAGAATAAAACAGTATGAGTCCAGTTTTCATTATTTATTTTCAGATACAAAAACACACCCTATATTTTTTTTTAATTTAAAGTAGGTTAATATACAGTGTGATTAAATCCTACACCCTTCAGAATAATACAATCAATCACCCTTAAAAAAAAAAAAAGCTGGCATTTTTAGAAAGCCTTTCAGGAGGGTACAAAATTAAAAGTTCCAGCCTAATTGTTTTGCCATGACATTAGTCCTCATGGATCATGGTTTAACTACAAAGTTCCACTGCAACAGAATGCAGGAGGGAATGTTATACCCTGAACAAAACAATATGAAACTTACCCCTCTGAAATTCCAGCCCTTGGTGGAAGGAAACAAGGAAAAATTATTCTGTTGCTGCTGTTTCGGCCTGTAAGATGAGACAAAGAAAAGTGTTTACATTTTCAGCTGCCATATTTTCTATCTCAGTAACAGAATGACAATAGAGGGAGAAAAGAAAAACACGTGTTTCAAGTACTGAGACACTTAGACTTCCTTGGCTGTACCTCTGACAGGTTTCTGTCTTCAGTGTAGTTATATGTTTTAATTCAGACTGAGCACTAAGTGACATGGCAGCCTTTCAGGCGTTCAGAGATGCTCTGACTTGATGTCTGACAGCAAGTTATTCCTCACACTGATTTTCAGCAGAGACAACCCTGACCCAAACAGTCTGTGAAGCAGCAATTATACCACATGATGCAAGATGGTGCAGCTGGACTGCAGGGGAACATTTCAGAGCCTTTAATCCTGACACTGGAGCTACACAAAGCTGTAAAGAGCAAGTAAGCCAGCCTCTTGTGTGACACTAAAAACTAGAAGCTGACTTCTGTTTTCACTCCTTCCAAAAATCTTTCTCATACCCTATAATTAACACTGTACAATTATTTCTGAAAGGTAACCATAACATGGCCCACTTCTTTCCTAATGAGTGCTTTTCACCAGTAGGAGTTTCAATTAGTTCACAAAGGTAGGCAAACATTGCTGAGATTTTACACACGAAGCCAGATCAAAGCTCGAGTGACCCGCTGAAGCTGACCAGACCAACACATGGTTTGGCAGCAGGACCCAAGTGCTGAGCACACTGCAACTCCAACCATGCAATGAGACACATTACTGAAGTGACCACAAAGAGTAACAGGAACACAAAAACTTGGTTAAAAAATAGCAAATTAAATGTCTGCTTGTCAAATCTCACCATCCAACAATAACAGGACAGATACTGAAGTTAAAGCACTGAACTAACACACAAGTTCTTTCGGCTGCTTATAGCTCCTGAAGGACTCCAATGCACCATATCCCAGTTTTTTTTTCTTAGAGTCAGGATAGCAATAGTTTCCACTGTCTTTTTTTCTGTCTTCTCTTTTTTGGTGTAAAATATTTGGTGTATGAACATTTCTGTTTTCATGTCCATTAAAACACATCATAGAACTGTGATCACAGTAAACATTTTTAGATGACAGCATAGTGCAAAAAATTATAATCGTGACAATTAATTTTTGTAATATCAAAGGCTGAGATGTAAATCTTCTTAGTTTTTCACTCCACCAGTCTGCCAACCAGAAAAAATATTAATATTGAAGTGCTTTGGTTGCATTGGTAAAGTCATTAAAAAGCACAAGGCAGCACACACGACAAGACTTCAGCCTTAAAGACTGTCCCAGCAATAAATACTCTTACTACATCTTTCCAAGTTAAAATATTTTGAAATTGAATTTCTAACCTAAAAGCCTCACTGGAACAGTAAGTGCTTTATAAATAAAGAAAAATGTGATTAACAAGAGCAAGTTATACAGATTATCAATTGGTGTAAAATTGTCCTAATGGTGTTTTGCACCTTTTTATTCACAGATCTCACATTGGAACCAGTCAGGTTTTTGAGTAAGTACTGGGAGCTCCTATAAAGTTGTGTTCCTTAGTATGTTTTTTTAAAAAATTGTTAAGAATTGCAATAGTTCTACACTAATTAAGATGAATGTAGAGGAAACAAATTACATTTCAGCCTCAATAAAACAAGTTTTATGACAGTTCAGACAATATTTCAAGGGAAATGAATGACTTAATTAAAAATTACCTATCCTCACAATCATTCTGTAATGAGAACTGAGAACTCTGTAATAAGCAATAAATTTGTCATATCATCCATCTACACTCAACTAAAGTTCATCCAGCAGAAGAAGGATGCCTAAGCAATTGTTATCATCAGTCTGTAACTTTCCTATTCACTGACAGCAACCCAGACTACACAAAAATTGCCAGTCTTGACAAAGAGCAAGCACATCAAATTTACATTTTGGCAGTTTTCACAATAGGTACTCTCTTCCCTCTTATCAATCAAGAGCCTTATTTCATTTTGGTGAGAATGAATCTTCCCATCACTCACAATGGTTTGCTAACTCTTTTTAATGCTACTGGTGTTATTAAAGGGACTTAAACGCAGAAGCCTAATGAAACAACATAGTTTTACCAAAAGGACTTTACTAAAAAGGCAGGGAAACATATGGAGGTCACAGTGTGTTCCTCCATGACTTGCTGAGCCAATCTGATACAATAAGGATCCAACAAAATTCTTCACAAAATATTTTTTCCACCCAATGTGTGCAGCCCTCTTCTAAAAACAGACTGAAGCATTAGACTCATTTAGTACCCTATGTGATATCTTATATAATTTCTTCAAAAACTTTCACTTTCATGCATCTGGCCTGATTATTCCTCCCCTATTTTCTACTCTATCAGGGTCATTTGAAGTCTGGAAGCCAGTGAATGCTCCAAGTCTACTTTCCCATTACAAGCAAGTACTTCATATAGCCCATCTCAAACATACCAAGATATTATTCCGAAGAACTATCCCACCATTTTCCTGAAAGACTTTTTTCAGAAATCTCACTGCTCCCATAATTAGGAATTATCTAGATTAAACATATTTGTAAATTTTTTATGATCGCCATTCTGAACCAATATTTTTCAGCCTAATGCACCCCTAAATGAAAACGAAGTAACATAAAATTCTGATTCTCAAATGCACCTGAAGTGACAAAATTTAGTTCTATGGAAAGCAAAACCTCATTTACAGTTTTCAGTTTGGTCCTTCACTATATTAAAGTTATTTTGATCGCTTGGTCTTCCTACTGTCAGCATCAATGAAAACTGTACTGAAAAAGAAATAAAGTATTGTAGCTTTTTCAAACACATTTTAAATTAATGTTTTTCTCTTTTCTTCCCCCCTACAACACATTACTACTGTTACTTCAGATCATTCTGTTTACTGGATAAGTCCTTTCCGAAGTGCAGCAGGATATGAGCTAATAAAGAACCAGTCTGTGCTATAAAACTATTGAAATACTAAATAGCTGCTTGATATTTTAAATACAAAACTGTCAAAGAATTCTATTTTTGAAACAGCCAATAGATATTACACTTTGGTAGGAGGGATAGTAGTCCCATAGTGTATTAGATGCACTTAGCTTCATAACAAAATAATTTACAAGACAAATAATAAAAATCATCACTGATATAAGCAGGTAGCACATAGAACAAAATAAAACATTAGCTTGAAGAAAAAAAGAGGACATATTAATAAGCATTAAAAGCAATGAGCAGACCTGACTTTTAGAGGCACATAAATCTAAAATAAATTACTCAGATACTATAGGAAGGATTTTTCAAATGTCAAGGACAAGGTGGAGATGGTTCTTACAATTGAACGCATTGTGATGAACAGTCTTGAAAAGCACCAAATAGGTTATCACAGAGTAGATCACAGTGAGATTTCAGAGATAGAGGAGTTCATCCTAAAAATTAGAGAGTCTCAGAGCTGTAATTCCTAATATTTGACCTTTCTTACACATGGATGTCTTTTCATTTAGCTAAAAGGAACCAAAACATTTTCTCCTCGCACCGCAGTGTTAAGAAGGAAGACTAAAAGATGGGGGTATAAAGGAACCCTTCAGACTGTGGGAGGGAGGGGTTACCAAACCCTCCATCTGAGCTTGGCTCGGGGATCTCTATGGAAGATTTACCTTGGGAATAAAACCTAAAACCAAGTCTCTCCACTGTGAGGAAAGTACAAGTGGGGGCCTGTCCCTTAGAGAGGCAGCCCTGGAGAAACTAAGCATTGAGCCCATCCCTCTGTCTGAGTGTCAAAACGCTCCTCCTCATCAGCAGAAGTTTTAACTGTGCATTATCCATTTCATCTTTAACCTCCAGTACTGGCGAGATAAACCAGGAAATTAATGGAAATTCACTCCTTAGTAACTCAAATATATCTTAGACCCCCTGAAACATTTACCAGGGAATGACTGACTTGCTTACCTGCTAGGTCCTAGTGATCCTGTGGCTCAGTAAGAATAAATTTAGAATTTTACCAAACTAAACTTTTATTACTGCAGGAACTTCTGACACTGGTAATACCCTCTGTGCTCTGGCATTGTCTTTGACCAAGGTGCTTCTACCACTGTTTCGTAGCCTAGAGAATAGAATGCTTTTGTCCTTAAGATGTACAGGGTTTTCTGTTTAGGTTCCATCACACACACACTATGCATATATTAAAAAAATATTTTTAGACACTAAATTAACATGCCTCAGAATAAATCACTGGAACTTTTTTCTGCAACCTTTACTTTGCTGTAGGTTAATTATATAATGACAATAGGTAAAAAGGTAGGTAAAAGTGTATAAAGGAATCTAAAAACTAAAATACAGATTAAATGTTCAAAAGTTTCTATTACATTCACTAACAAAATGTTTTATCTGCCTTGAAGCATGATGATGAGTTAAGTGAACCGTTTATGGCAGTTTATGTTAAGCTCACGCAACTTTTACATCTTCATCTGATCTTCCAGTCTATCTGTACACAGAATCACTGACTACAAGAGTGTTTCTAAGATATGAAAATCCAAACTGTGCAAGTTTTGTTTAAAATATTCAGCTGCCACATCTGTTCAAAAATAAAACTCATTTTGCAAATCTACATGAATACTCAGATAATAAAAGGAAAGCTCAAACCACTTGGAAACAAACTGTGCCAAGTAAAAATTATTCTCAATCTGCAGAAACAAACGTTGTTACTACAGCTGTGAATATTTTACAAAGATACTGTTAAATAATAAATAGTACTTACTGCTCAGATCTGTTCTTTGTGATGTCATCTGCTCAACTTATCAAATACGTACACTAAAACACAGGTCACAAAAGCACATTTCTTTTAACACAGTGGAATAGCTGTGATACTAAATTACATGCACAAAAAATGTCAAAGTGGTTTACCTAGTGAAGCTTGAGATGTGCAAGATCATTTTAGCTTTTTACAGATAATATAATTACAGTTATATACCTTTGGTACTGATTTTAAAAGCAGGAAAAGAGCTCATACTT